TCCCCCTCCCCTCTCTTCTTTGCCCCTTCTTATCCTTCTACCACCCCACTCCTTTTTCTTTTGAGACTGGGTCTCGCTATGTAAGTCAGGCTGGCTTTGAACTCACTGTGTACCCAGGCTGGCCTCAGTTAAGGGTGATCCTCCTGCCTCAGCCTCCCGAGTGCTGGGATGACAGGTGTGTGCCACCACACCTGGCAATTTTCCACTATTTCTTACGGGAAAAATATGTTCAGTTCTCGCCCTTTTTGGTGTTTGAACACAAATTGGGGATGAGTTGAGTTTGGCAACTGCGGTATCCTTGTACTTGTCACTCTTGAATCAACACTTGGCCTTGGGGACTCTCCAAAATTACGGGCCTGAAGTTCGCTACCCAAGGGGGAGCTTTCTGCTGTCTTTCGGTGCTGTGGACTCTGCACATCTACCCTTGGGGAGCAGTGCAACTGTCCTTTTTGTGGTGTATCTGCTGCTGCCTTGTGCCTCTTCTTGGGGATCTGTCGTTTTGTGTCCCCATGGCCAGAGGGCTGTGCTGTTACCGGGGGAAATAACTGTGTGTTTTTGATGAGCTTTCTTCAGATATGAGCGACAGTGCTCTTGGCCCTGGGCTCAGTGTTGAGTGAAAGACGGTGTCTTCCAACACTGGGGGAACTGTGGTTCTACTACTTTTTTATGTAAACTTTGGGGCTTGTATTATATGCACATTTAAACTATAGCTTTTGAAGTTCCACCTTGTAGTTGTTCTCAGTGTTTTGCAGTGCGTAATTTTTACATTCCTGGTGCGGACCTGCTACTCGTACAGGACACGTCCGGTTCCTTCCTTTGATCTTCTTCCTCTCCCTCCCTCCTCCGTCATCTGCTGGTCCCTTTCTCATGTGAGACAGATCGATCTCCCTACTTTGTGTCGTCTGTGTTTTATTTTGCTCTTTGTTACAGTTTGGGTTTTCCATGTAAGAGACGTAACGTGGCATTTAAGCCTGTGTATCTGATTATTTTCACGTAGCATTGTGATCCCAAAGCACATCCATCTGCCTACAGGTGACCCGAGCTTATCCTTCTTCGTGGCAGAGTAGTACTCCGTTGCGTGTAAGCATCACTTTTCCATTACCCATTCATCTGTAGGTGAACGTGCAGGCTGCCTCCAAGATTTTGCTATTATGACCTGTGCCGCTATAAACATGGATATGCATGTATGTAGCATGATGTCTTTAAGTCTTTTGGGAAGACACCTCGGAGGGGAATAGCTGGGTCAAGTGGAGTTCCCGATTTTAGTTATTTGAGGAATCTCCACACTGATTTCCATAGTGGCTGGACTGGTTTATAATACGTTTACTATTTTAACTGAAAAACCGTAGATAGGCTCCAATCACCAAACACACAGAAAACAAGACGAAGTGCTGATCTGTGATAAAAAAATATGGCTGGAAGGAATCTCAGAGAAACCAGCCCCCCTACAAGAGATGGTTCGTATTTGTTATTTTAGTTTTTCAGCCTTCTGCATGGACTGCAGCTCCCAGGAGTAGAGAGGAAAATAGGCTTTGAGGGTTCCTCCTCTCTGGCTTCCCATGGCGAACCCTCGCCCTGTGATTTTCACCTGCTTGCAGAACAGCGGGTGTCACTTGGAAATTTCCGGGGAACACAGGGAGCCCTGCCCTGCCCAGGGGCCAGGCAGTACCGAAGTGGCCTTGGGGTTTTTAGGATCCCCACCCCTACCCCGCAGGGCAAGATTTGCTGGTCTTTGTGGCCAAGTACAGACTGGCTCTCATTTCCAGCTGGGAAGCAAAGCAAACTTGCGAAGATTGGCTTTTGATTTCCATTCTGGCTTTTGCTTGCAGTCCCTTAAGTGAACAGAGTCTTACCAGGTTTGTGGGAAAAGCCCCCGTCTGGTGCTCAGGGCCAGCAGGAGGTCATGGTGAGCTGCTCGTTCCTCTCTTCTGCCTGTGGGAACAGGTCCTTTCCCAAAGCTGCGTTGGTTTTGAGGGTAGACAAGGGCGATCGACAGGCAGGGACGGGAGAGTAGGGAAATGGCTGTTTTCTGACTGCTTTTCTGTGATGTTTTGTTGTTTTTTTTTGCTGTCACCTGTTCTCAGACTCGTATCCTCTTCCTTCCCTAAGATCAGCGAGATGTCTTGAGATGTTCGTTTTTACACGGTGTGATACAAATACAGTGAATGCTTTACATTTCAATAAACGCGTTGAGGTAGAGGACACAATGCCACGGCCCCCTCTCAAAATCCTCTTCTTCACTTCAAATGCATTTCTCCCATGGTTTTTGCCACTTTTCAAAGCGGTTCCGGAGTCCTCTCTCGTGAGTGTCTTTAGCTGCGGTCCTGGCTGCCTTGGTGTCCCGCACTGATTCAAAACTGTTTCCCTTCTGTGGTCATTTTCACGTCGGGGAAGGAGCCAGGCGTCACACAGGGCCAGATCTGTGAATGAGGTGACTCGGTGACGAGTTTCCACCCGGCTGCCTTTCCGTCCTCAGTCAGCGGTGTTGGCTGTACTCACGAAAGCGGGCACCCGAGGTGCTGTGGGAAGAGACGCGGATGACGGGGACGGGTGTGTTCGAGGTGAGCGTGAGGACTTTGAGCGCGATTCATGGTAGTGTGTGAGTTTTGCTTCAGTTTTTATTTTCATTACCACGTGCTGCATTGCATGATGTTTATATTTCTTGCGGGGAGTTGGTGCCTGTGCTAACCCATCTAAGTCCTTTTTCATCCCTTTCTTCCTCTCCCTTGCCCTCCTCCCGTCTCTCCATCCCCGTCCCATTTGAGGAAGATCCATCTCCCTACGTCCTGTTACTCCTTTCTTTTATTTGCTCTTTATTTACGTTCTCGGGTCAGAGAAACCATACGATATCTAAAGCTTATGCATCTGATTTTTTTTTTCACTTAACATTATGGTCTCAAGGTGCATCCACTTTCCTATGGATGACTCGAGTTTACCTTTCTTCACAGCAGAATTAAAAAGCTTCTCCACAGCAAAGGAAACCACCGACATAGCCAAGAGACAACTTACGGAATGGGAGAACATTTTCTCCAGGTATTTCTCAGACGGAGGACTAATGTTTGAATACATAAAGAATACACATAAAAAGGCACCCCAAAGTAAAAGACCCAGTCAAAAAATGGGCAATTGAAATGTCCAGACAGAGGTGCTCTCACACCCTTACATGTGATCACCCGTTGCTCTGTTGCATTTTGTCTTCATGGCATCCGTTAGAGAGTATCTCTTAGACCCAGAGGTCTTTTGGGTTTCCTTATTCTGTCTCTGTCCTGCCTGGCTTGGTCTGCAAACATCAGGAGGTCTTCCATGGCACCATCTCTTCTTTGTCTGTGAAAATGTGGGGACCCTGTGGCTTGATGTTTGACGTGAGGATTATAAACCATGCAGTCGGAATCAGAGCTTCACAGTGGGTGTCCGGGTGACCGCGGATGTTACTGTCTCCCTAGTCCTTGTTCTTAGAAGTCGTCCCCCACCCTACGGCGCTTTCCCCTCTTCTCCACTGCCTCCCCCACCCCTTCACCTTCCATGGCCAAGTCTTCTGATGTCACCACTGCCACCGCATCCAGACCTTTTCCCAGCCCCTTCCCTGCCTCTCAGCATCCCCAGCTCCACATCCTGAGCAGCCAAGCCCCCACCCCAGACGCACAATGCCCCATTCCGTCCCTCTCCACTCTGCTGCCGGGAGGGGCTTCCTCACTCCCTCCTGTGGTCCTTTAGCATCTGTCAGCTGAATTCCCGACCCTCCTGGGTCCTGGCTTGGCTTCATGAGGCTGCACCTTTCGGGGCTCCCGTTCTTTGAGCCTTCCCATGTCTAAGTGCCCTGCTTTCCCCTCGGGCCCATCAGCAGCACCCCTGAGGTCTCCTTCCCGTCCCCCGACTCCCGCAGTCCCCTCCTCTCTGTTTGCTCTGGGTCCACTCTGCTGCGCATGGAGGGGGTCCCCATGGAGAGTGAAGTCTGGTCCGCGTGTCCTGCTCTAAGTGTGAATGTCCAGAGCTCGCATCCGGCTTGGCCTCGCCTCTGCTGTGTGGCCTTCAGCAGCCGCATTTCTCTCTGAGCCTGTTTCCTTTGCTTCCTCACCCTGCCCCCAGCCACAGACACGGCGCTGTGCCTTCTGAGCCTCCCACTCCAAGACATCTACTGCCCTTCCATGCCTGGCTCTTTCCAGCAGAGCCTCTCTCCCGTGCTGGCCTGTCCTCCTCCGTGGCTTCTCATGGTTACATCATTTCAGTGTTACTGTTCCAAGCTCATCTTTCCCGGTAGCTCTGTTATCCACGGACTTTGCTAGGCCATCTGTGTATTGATTTGGGGTCCTGGGGGTTGAACTCAGAGTCTTCTCATTGAGCTGTATTGAAGCCCTTATTAAAAAAAAAAAAGTCTAATTTTGAGACAGGATCTCCTTAAGTCACTAAGTTGCCCAGGAGTGCTGGGCTGGAACTTGGAATCCTCCTGCCTCAGCCTCCCAGAGATCTGGGATTATAGGTCACAGGTTCTACCATTTTCTTTTCCTACCCCGCATCTCTGACAGTTCGCTCTTCTCAGTCACGTTACTCTGTCCCCAATTCACCCTGCCCAGTCCCCAGGGAAGCAGTGGGTTCTTCCCTCTCCCTCCGGGGAGCCCTCCGCTGGCCACTTGACTCACTCAGATTTTCTAGAAGAGGGGAGACAATGAAGTTGAAGCTCAGAGAGGGATGTCTTGCTTCGGACCACACAGCAGAGATGAGGTAGCGCTGGGATTTGAACCCGTGGCAAAGAGTAGTAAAAATGTCTTCCGCTGTGACTCTGGGTGTCTAAGGTCAAGGTGCTGGCAGTTGCCTTCTTCTGAGCTCACCCCGCTCACCTCTCCTCTCCCCGGCAGTCCTCCCCTCCCTCCACTTCTGCAGAAGACCCTCCGGCCCGCCCTCTTCCAGCTGGTCTGTAAACCTCGGGTCAGTGTCGAAGCCACGCTGGCTCCTTCCTTTCATGAGGCTCCTGGAAAGAATAGCACAGAGCCTTGCTTTGTCACCTTGTTTTCAGTTTAATCTCCCTTTAAGGTTTTTGTTTTGTTTTTTTCAGTACGGAGGATGGAAACCTTCAGTACTGGGAATTCAGTCCTGAGCTACATCCCTGGTCCTTTTTAGTTTTTACTTGGAGACACAGGTCTCCCGACATCTCTAAGTTGCCCAGGCTGCACTCGAGTACGTGACCTGCCTCAGCCTCCCAGTGACTTGGGATGACGGGAGTCTGTCACTGTGCTTGGCTCCATTTAAAATATTTTTGTGGGATTTTTTTGGGGGGTGGAACAGTGCTAAGGGTGGAGCCTGAGGCCTTATGCGTGCTGAACACACGCCACGGCTGACCCGTGTCCCTGGCCCCTTTTGTACGTTTTGACACTTAGAGTCACAGGGTCGAAATCTGCAGGTAGGAAGTGAGCTGACAGTGCACACGTTCCCCTTTCTTGTGCCTGGCTGCTCAGTTCCTTTCTCCAGAGACAACCAGAGTTGCAATTCTTTTGTTTTGTTTGTTTGGTTTTTTGAGACAGGGTCTCACTATGTAGTTGAGACTGACCTGGAACTCACTGTGTAGCCCAGGCTGGTCTCGAACTCACAGCGATCCTCCTGCCTCAGCCTTCTAAGTGCCGGGGACAACAGGTGTGCGCCACCCTGCCCGGTACCATTTTTAAGTGTTTGAAGAAAAACTTATATTTGTCTTTCATAACCCATGAGAAATATATGTAACTTAGATTGCAATTTTTTCTTCCTTTTCAAAAATGTTTTATTAGTACGTGTTTGCAATACATAATAAGCACATTCAAGGTGAGGAATTGGTCCCTACACATTTTGCATCTTCATTCCTTTCTGTTCCCCCT